CGGGAAAACACTGAGATAACCCTCAGATTCCCGGGCCTCAGCACTCATCTGGAGGGGCGTAGATTGGGGGATGCCAGCAGAAGAAGCAAGGGATGCTTTAATCTGGCTTTAGGACCCGGGGGATCCGGGAAAAAAGACGCTGAACTTTTTTTTTTTTTTTTTTTTTTGGAGTCCACTCAGACTACTCATCTTTCCCGAACCTCTCTCCCCGGGCGAGGCCCCAGGTCTCTCAGCCACTGTGGAGATGGGGGAGGAGGACCCGGAGTTCTTTGTGGTGCATTCTTCTCACTGCAACCCTCTCAGCCTGGCCCCCTCCTCCCATTCCACCCCAACACCACTCATACCCCGCCTGCCAGCTCGGGCTCCCCAGCCCCCATTCCACGTGGACCAGCCCGGACGGGGTGGGAAGGAGGACAGGAAGCGGGGGAGCCACCTCTGGGAGGAGGGGGAAGGAGGTTCTCCCGGCCTCACTGCCCGCCGTCCGGACTCGAGGCACCATGTTCTCGGCCGGGCCCCCCAGCTACACTCTCCTCCGGCTCCCCCTGCTGCCGTTGCTGCTGCTACTGCTGGTGCTGGCCTTGGGGAGGGGGCTGGGCCGAGCCAGCCCGGCAGGGGGGCCCCTGGAAGACGTGGTCATCGATCGGTACTACATCCCCAGGGCCTGTCCCCGGGAAGTGCAGATGGGGGACTTTGTGCGCTACCACTACAACGGCACTTTTGAGGACGGCAAGAAGTTTGACTCCAGGTAATGCATTGGGTATCCCCAGACTCACCACTCTGCTTTCCTGAAACCCGATCTGGGTCCTGCAGTTACCGTCTTGCCCCTTTAAAATTCTGTATTCCAGTACTCACTCGGTGATCCCCTAATCTCAGACAGCACCCTTGGGGGCTCCTGGACATCCATGTCCCAAAAGACAACCCCTGCTCCAATTCCAAACCTTCACCTGTCAAAGGACCCCAGTTTCTTTCCCCCAAAGTACTTGATAATCAAGGTGCCCTGTTTACTTACCTTTGCTGTATATAAGGACAAGATGGAGGGGGGTGTACTGCCCTACCGTGTTGGGGGAAAGCGTGGGCCCTGCTGCATCTGTCTACCTTTCCATCTACCCTGACTGCCTCACTGATTCCATCCCCAGTTTTTAGTGCCTTTGTGTTTAAAGAAGAAGGAATAGAACTGTTTTTGGAGGGGGGGGTGGGAGTTTTCAGTAGCCAGTTGGCAGGGATAAAGCTGGGTGGGCAGTAGAATAAGACAGCTGGATGAACCTGGGGGGGTAGGGCATGGCTTGGTACAGGGACCCTGTCTGTCTACGTGTCACCCGGTCGGACATGCTGCACTGGACTCCTTAAAGGGTATCAAGTATCATGCCTCCCTCTGCTGTTCCCCTCTGCACCCCACCTCCCACCATTTCAGCTATACCAGGCCAGTGCCCCAGGCTACCCATCTTGCCAGGCGTGAGGTTTGCACTGTTGTTGGTGGAGACAGGGCAATCTGTCAGCCTCAGGGGTAAACCTTAGATTTCTGAGTCAGTGCTTTCTACACCCTTCCCCAAAAACATACAACTCAGTCACAGGAAAATTAGTGGCCATGACTTTGGAGGCAGGTAGTATATATTGGGAAAGAATACAAACTCCAGAATTCATATAGTCCATTTCAGGTTATGACTGAGGATAGGGAATCTTGTCTCTTTAAGTTTTACTTTCCTTATCTGAAAAACAGATAAAAACAGCACCTACTTGCTAAGGCTGATGTTAAGACTCACACAAGATGATGAATTTTCGAAAGGGAGCTTCTCACAGTGCCTGGCAGTCCTTGAGCAGGTTCAATAGGCTGGACTCTT